AAACCCATTCCCCAATTATATAACTATATTTTCAGCCTTCTGGCTGCTATGCTCTTTCAATAAACAGTTAATTATTATTATTATTTATTACTAGATGGCGTCTGTGTCTAATGGAATGTTATTGTGGTTTTAATCTCGCCGATGAAAAAGGTTAATGGAGGCCTTTTTTATTTACTTTGTTTCTTTAAATAAAAAAAATAACATAACATTTAGGAAGGAGGGATACTTATTGGCCCACGCTAGGACGTACAAAGGTCTAAACACAGAGCTTACACTCCACCTTGTAGGAGGGAAGGATAGTAATTTGCATACATCAGGATATGCGGAGGAATGTTCTTGATGGCTCAGTGTGAGGTGTGGCGAGGAGTTATAGAGACATCTGGTGGCGTAGGCGTGAGGCTTGGGTCATGTGGGATGTTCTCACTCCTGATGGTGGTAGTGGTGAGGATGGTGGTGATGGTGGTGGTGGTGGTAGTGGTGAGGATGATGATGGTGGTGGTGGTGGTAGTGATGGTGGTGATGATAATGATGGTGGTGATGGTGGTGGCATTAATGGTAATGGTGGTAGTGGCATTAATGGTTGTGGCTGTGGTAGTGATGATGATGTCATTAATGGTGGTGGTGATAAGTGATAGTGGTGGTGCCAGCATACCTGCAGTGCCACACTATTACACCCCTCACCTCCACACAAGATCAATGTAGCGGTGAACCACATATCAAGTGGTCGTATAACAGTGTACACTATATTAAACAGACTGCACGACACGATGTACACAGCTTCCCCCAGACTGTGAACGGACGGAAAAAAGAAATATACTCAATTTTATTAACTGTGAGATTGCGTAGTTTCATCTGTAAATTTGATAAAAACTTTCCTCATTTATTATTTAACATAAAATAATAATATTACTGTAGTAGTTAGTTTCGAGTCATTCCTCTCGTCTACACGGAACGGGTGCAGTAGAACGGAAAATACATAGAATACATACAGCTGTATCGCGGCCAACGAACACACTGGAAAAATGACCTAATCCTGAATGATTTTTTAGTTAATAACTCCTGATGTTTAATTACATTTATAAAAGACAAGAATGAAAACGAATTCAACCTCCCCCCCCCTACACGTTACACAATATGTTATGAATCATATATAACGAAACGTCATTACAGAAACAACAAAACAGAATCGGTTCACAAAAATCAATAACAAGCAGCAGACAGCGTGTGATGGTCGCATCACTGAAGGTCTCCCGGACTCAACGCGGCGCACCATCCTCTGACGTTACGGCGATGGAGGGAGTCCGGAGTCGTCAGAACCTAGCTGACTACCTCCCACCTCACCTTAGTCCTGCTGTATATTTTTTTCCCTTACGCTGACTCATCAATACAAACACATTACTGGTGGTTGTTGGCATTGCTTGTTTTGAGGTATTTAACTGTTCAGTATCTAAAGTTTTTATTTGCAATTTTCTAGGGCTTAATTTCTATACTAGGGAATTATTACGGCTTCTACGGCCTGGGTGGATAATGCGATTAGTGCGATAGAACACGTCTAGCAGGTGTTGGTCGAGCTGATGGACGCCACTACCAGGGAGATGCACTTGTGGTGCTTGAGTTGACGCTTGTATTTTGGTTTCCCGGAGTTGAGTGCAAGTACAACCTGGGTGGAGAAGCATATGGATAAATAAGTTGACAGATGAATGAATAAACAAATACTTCTATGTGTTACTTGTTGACTACCAATCTGTGTGAGTGACGTTAGAGGGACAGTTGGGGCATTGTTGGGTCCTCACAGGGTCGTCACTCAACCTTAATTTTCTTGCCTTTTCTTCTTTTTACTCACCGTGACAATGTGAGGGACGTTGTGACGTGTAACGAGAGATAAAAAACATTATAGAAACACTCGACGTCAAATCATGGTTATTTTTACCGAGACTCATGGGTTGTGATTGACTCGTTCATGAGGGTGGCATCAGAGTCCTCAAGTTACAACACCACTCTCTTGATGCTCTCTTTCTAAAGGTCTCTTTATGTGAGCTGAAAACATTAACATTAATATTTGGGTTAATGTTGTCACCATGTGGGGATTATTGTATCAATATTTTGTAAGTAATCAACTCATGCACTGGTGTGAGAGGTCTTGGGTTGCTACAAGGTTACACCGCCAGGGCTTAGCTTCCATCAGGCCACCACAAAGTAAAAGTAAAGAAATAAAAATATAAATAGTTATTTTTGTGTTGAGTTTACCTACAATTTTCTTAATCGACCGAGTTTCAGGTTTTCAGTAGCACCTTTTCAACAATGCAAAGATGAAACCTCTGGGTGTGTCTCTCTTGCCAAATAACTGTGAAGCAATCAAATTCATGGAATTTATTCCTTGGGCCAAATATTCTTTTCCTAGACACAGTTTATTTTCTTTATTTTGAGGTGAATTTTGTTTAGAGTTTGTGTACATCGTGTGTGTGTGTGTGTGTGTGTGTCGGGAGGGGGGTCAGGAATATATATCTCCTTATGACCTCAGACATGACCGACAAATCACGTTCCACTACGGCTGCTGCCTTGTTAACTTATTAAACCTAAACTCAACACTTAACCAACTTCTTCATATATCAAGTACCAGAGACGAGGAGATACTGAATGAAAGAACTTCTCCTATAACGCTTGACATGGTCTTCACCTGATGCGCCATCATGACAAGAATTAGATGAACGTCTTGAAGGAGGAAGTCAAACAACACTGCCACTCTGCTTGAAATACCCTTCAGTCTTTGGCTCAGGGATTCTGATTGATCATTCCTACATCACCTGATTCTTAAAAAAAAAATTATCCAGGCAAAAGTTTTCAGCTGAAGGTCGGAATTTAATAATAAAAAAGTCTCCCAAATGACCTGCGACCTCGTGACCTCTGCTTTGACCAATCACGACCAAACGTGATCAACTTCAGTGATGATCCTCAAGTGAGAGATATTAGAAAGTGAAGTGTCTGGGAGGTGCTGATATAATCCCATACTCTAACACTGTGACCTTCATGCCAACAACGTGACTATTCCTTGACCTTTGACCGATCATCATAAAATCAACAGGTTTCTCGCGTTTCACTCTGCCTGGAGGTTATAGAATGAAGAAGACCTCAGAGCTTGGAGCAACACATAACAACAAACACCACCACGACACAAGTCAGTAAAACGAGTGAAGGTGGGTCCCGTAGGCCTAACACCGCACCGTATACACAAGCAGGCAGCGTGGTCGGCACTGCACTCGACTGCCTTCACTTCCCTAGTTATAAAGTTAGGTGACCGTTTACAGCTGGGTGGACTAGGGGTGCCCCGGGACCGGACTATCAACTCTTAGGACCAGAGGAGAGTGCTGGAAAATTAATATATTCTGTGATATTCGCCCACATGACATACAGACAGACAGGCAGACAGACAGACAGACAGACAGGTAAACAGCAGACAGACAGATGCGGATGAAGCTCAGAATTACATAATATCCTCATTCTTGAAGAAGATTAATCCTCTCACTATAGGAGGCAGTACTAACGGGTGTGGTGCAGGTGTGTATGTTGTGTAGGTGTGGTGTAAGTGTGCTGTAAGTGTGGTGTAGGTGTGGTGTAGTGTAGGTGTAAGTGTGGTGTAAGTGTGGTGTAGGTGTGGGTGATGTGTGGGTGTAAGTGTGGTGTAAGTGTGCTGTAAGTGTGGTGTAGGTGTGGGTGATGTGTAGGTGTAAGTGTGGTGTAAGTGTGGTGTAAGTGTGGTGTAGGTACAGGTGTAGATGTGGATGTGCGTAAGGTGTGGGTGTGAGACTGGTGTGGAACAGGTGTTAGGTGTGAGGTTGCCAATAATGCTCGTGACAGGAGACTGGGAGTCACGTGGGCTATGAGACGTCGGGATTTATCTATTTGTATTTATTAAATTTTTTGTTGGCTGGCCCACACACACACACACACACACACACACACACACACACACACACACACACACAATCAGTGTTAACGGGACCAGAGAGGTGAGAAACTGAGGTGTGGGAGACGAAAGAGTGAGGTATTTGTGTTATCACCTGCAGGCCACCTGCCATACCAGGTAGCCTCACCTGTCTCACCTTCACCTACTCAAATTATAGGTAAAACCAGCTCTCTTACTCAACCTTATAATCTGGGCCACAACTGCAGTTAATTTTAACCTATGGATCACCCAAGGTCAACCGTTCACCCACGGTCAACCTATCGGTGGTAACCAACTCATTGAGTCAACTAAGGGGAGTCAACAAAGCATTTCCCTCACCGTCTCTCACTTTCGTTAACCCATTATCTCACTCACCCAATCCACACTACATCAAGGGCACCATCCCATCCACCCACAACCACCCAGAGCATCAAATCAATCCATACAGGAGGCCACGGTCTGTGTTTCTTCCATAACTTATCGTCCTGACCACACACTCCAGCATCGATTGAGTGAGTGTGTTTACGCCCCAGAATCTGACCTTGATGATCCACTCCAAAGTCTAAGACAAGTGACTATTGTTCTCTGGTCTATCATGCTATTAATACTCCTGTAGAGGCCTCATTCTCTCGGTCTCGTGAGTGACATTATTTATAAACGTTGCGGAATAGTTCGTGTGTGTGTGTCTCGCAACGTCTAAGTAGTTTAATTTTAACCTGTGTGCGGTACTGTATACCTTTCCTTTTTGACGCTACGATGTCCTCATTACTGTACAAAGCTCTACTGAATAGCTCATATATCATATTGTAGGGGAGGGGAGGCGACAATAAAACGTAAGGTACACAACTGCTATAGAATACTTGTGTGGGTGTTATATAGGTCAGTTCCCCCTACCGGTTTATCCAGTTTCCTTAATTGGTGTCTCCTGCCACAGTTGACAATTACAACAATTATATGTGAATAATTTCGAAAACCTAAGTGGCTTCAGTTTAAGAATGTTATTTACACAATAGCAAACATAACTTAGCATCTATTAACTCATAAATTTTTCTTTCAGTTAAACGACATGTTGGCTACGAGACAAGAGGCTGCTACAGCAACTGAGAGGCTTAGGCAGTAGTACGACAACTTTTACTGGGGTGAGTGTGGGTGCCAGACGGCTGAGTAAACGTCAGGTACTTCCTCGCCAGTCATGATGTTTGAACCTGATCATATCAAATGCCATTCCATAATTGCATGACAACGTATAATAGTTATACTTCTTCATGGACTGTGTAAAACTTTATCTTTTATTTTGCTGGGCTCTAAATTATGTAATCATTATGTAAGGCACACTCACATAATCTCAGGGATGAACGTTGTGTAATGTGATTTGAGTAAAAACTTAAAACATTCTTGTGAACAGTAACAATGACGATGATGGTAAAGGCCTAATCTACACTTAAAGCACAAATGCTGTGATCTTTGAGATATTTAAGTGTGAACTCTTACATTTTGGTATTTGTATGAGACGCCATACTGTACTATGTTCTTCAGTGCTCAGGGGGGGATTCGTCCCATTCCACTGAACCCTCCACCCCCACCCCCGAATCCCCCTTTGATGTACGGCCCTGGTGTACGGCACTGATGTACGGCCCTGATGTATGGCCCTGATGTATTTTTTGAGTATCAACAGACGCATGTACAGTTAGCGGACACGGATGAATACATTGGCACAAGTTGCCCCATAACACCAACGCCTCCATCACCACCACCACTACCACACTGTTTCTCATCCATCCATCTCCACACATTAGATTATTGTGAGGTGAAAATATGGTGTGGAGGAGAGGCGGCAGAGAGTGGAGGGATGGCAGTGTTGTATTGTGGTCAGGGAAGTGCGGCCAAATTGCTGCAGGTGGACGATGGCGGTGAGCAGGAGGTAAGTTGTGTGGGTCCAGTGTTTTCTGAAGACTTCTGTGGTCTAATGGCAACACCCCCCCTCCCCTCCCCACTGCTTATATCACTCACTTCCCTAATGCACTGATACTAATGCTTTTGGCTATATCCCCGATTAGGTTTAGAGGATTAGTTCAGTTCATATTATGTTATAAAAATGTCATTCAGTTAGTAAAGAAGATTTGACGTTGGTGATACAATGTTGTAACCCTTGGGTCAACTTTCTGAGTCTGTGTTTTATTGGTGTTCATTTATATTATCTTTCTCTCACCGACGTCAAACTCTAGTTATAAATTATTGAAGAAAAACGCTGAGTAACAGTGACTGGTAACCCGGTACCCAAACTACCAGTAACTGATACCCTGGAAGCCACAGTGACTGGTACCCCGGGAGCCACAGTGACTGGTACCCCGGGAGCCACAGTGGACTGGTGCCCCGGAAGCCACAATGACTGGTACCCCGGGAGCCACAGTGACTAGGCACCCCTGAAGCCACGGATTGGTACCCTGGGAGCCACAGTGACTGGTGCCAGCCACGGTGACTGGTACCCCGGGAGCCACGGTGACTGGTACCCTGGGAGCCACAGTGACTAGTACCCCTACTGGTACCCCAGGGAAGCCACAATGACTGGTACCCTCGGTTGAGTTCAATGACTGGTACCCTGGAGCCACAGTGACTGGTACCCTGGGAGTACCTGGTGGAGCCACAGTGACTAGTACCCGGAAGCCACAATGACTGGTACCCCTGGGAGCCAGTGACTAGTACCCTGAAGCCACAATGACTGGTACCCTGGGAGCCACAGTGACTGGTACCCCGGGAGCCACGGTGACTGGCCAGTGACTAGTACCCCGGAAGCCACAATGACTGGTACCCTGGGAGCCACAGGACTGGTACCCCGAGCCACGGTGACTGTTCCCGGGAGCCACAGTGACTGGTACCCTGGAGCCACGGTGACTGGTACCCCGGGAGCCACAGTGACTAGTACCCCGGAAGCCACACGACTGGCACCCCGGGAGCCAAACTAACCGGGGAGGCCATCTTATGATACATATAAAAGTGTGATATATATATATATATATATATATATATATATATATATATATATATATATATATATATATATATATATATATATATATATATATATATATATATATATTTGTGTGTGTGACACATATATAAGTGTGTGACACATATATAAGTGTGTGACACATATATAAGTGTGTGATACATATATAAGTGTGTGACACATATATAAGTGTGTGACACATATATAAGTGTGTGATATATATATAAGTGTGTATAATATGGGAAATTATATTGTGTATATATTTAAAAATAATAGGGCAGTAAGGGCAAGTATATGTGTGTGTATATAATAAGCTTCAACTAATATAATGTAATGTCACATAACCTATCCTAACTTAATCTACTTAACCCAATATAACGTAATGTAACCTGACCTAATCTAACCTAACCTAACGTAACGAACTGTATGGTAACCTAACCTAATCTAACCTAACCTAACGTAACGAAGTGTATGGTAACCTAACCTAACCTGAGAAACTCAACCACACCTTAGCCAAACGTACCCTAACCTAACTAACTCTTGCAAGCCTTAACCTAACCTAAGCTAACCTAACCTAACCAACGGTACCAACCCTTAACCTAACCTACCCTAACCTAACCAACTCTCCCAACCCTTAGCCTAACCTAACCAACTGTACCAAACCTTAATCTAACCTAACCAACTCTACCAACCCTTAGCCTAACCTAACCTAACCTAACCTAACATAACCTAACCTAACCAACTCTACCAACCCTTAACCTAACCTAACCAACTCTACCAACCCTTAGCCTAACCTAACCTAACCAACTGTACCACACCTTAACCTAACCTAACCAACTCTACCAACCCTTAGCCTAACCTACCAACCTAATCTAACCAACTCTACCAACCCTTAACCTAACCTAACCTAACCAACCCTACCAACCCTTAGCCTAACCTAACCTAACCAACCCTACCAACCCTTAGCCTAACCTAACCCAACCTAACCTAACCTAACCAACTCTACCAACCCTTAACCTAACTCTAACCAACTCTACCAACCCTTAGCCTAACCTAACCTAACCAACTCTACCAACCCTTAGCCTAACCTAACCTAACCAACTCTACCAAACCTTAACCTAACCTAACCTAACCAACTCTACCAACCCTTAGCCTAACCTAACCAAACCTAACCAACTCTACCAACCCTTAACCTAACCAAACCTAACCAACTCTACTAACCCTTAGCCTAACCTAACCAAACCTAACCAACTCTACCAACCCTTAACCTAACCAAACCTAACCAACTCTACTAACCCTTAGCCTAACCTAACCTAACCTAACCAACTCTACCAACCCTTAAACTAACCTAACCAACTCTACCAAACCATAACCTAAACACTCTCACCCAACCTAACCTAACCAACCTCAACCCCTAGCTAACTAACCTAACCAACTCTACCAACCCTTAGCTAACCTAACCTAACCAACTCTACCAAACCTTAACCTAACCTAACCCAACCAACTCTACCAACCCTTAGCCTAACCTAACCAAACCTAACCAACTCTACCAACCCTTAACCCTAACCAAACCTAACCAACTCTACTAACCCTTAGCCTAACCTAACCAAACCTAACCAACTCTACCAACCCTTAAACTAACCTAACCAACTCTACCAAACCATAACCTAACCAAACCTAACCTAACCTAATTCTCTTAATAATCTTGGTAAGTAGTGTTTGTTTAAATAATGCTCTACAAGACATGAGTAACAATGATAATCTCTTACAATAATATTTATACAGTTCTATATAATGTCTCTTGATGTCTAGTTTAGGTGTTTATATATCTCACACTGTCCCAGGAGGATGCCATAGCCCAGTTACAGTGACCGGGAGCCACAGTGGCTGGTGCCCGAAGCCACCGAGACTGGTGTCCCAGGAACCACCGAGACTGGTGTCCCGGGAGCCACAGTGACTGGTGTCCCTTGAGCCACATTGACTGGTGCTCCGGGAGCTACAGTGACTGGTCTCCCCAGGCCTGACTGGTGTCCCTGGAGCCACAGTGACTGGTGCTCCGGGAGCCACCGTGACTGGTGCTCCGGGAGTTACAGTGACTGGTACTCCGTGAGCCACAGTGACTGGTGTCCCTTGAGCCACAGTGACTGGTGCCCCGAGAGCCACCGAGACTGGTGTCCCAGGAACCACCGAGACTGGTGTCCCGGGAGCCACAGTGACTGGTGGTCCGGGAGCCACCGTGACTGGTGCTCCGTGAGCCACAGTGACTGGTGTCCCTGGAGCCACCGTGACTGGTGCTCCGTGAGCCACAGTGACTGGTGTCCCTGGAGCCACCGTGACTGGTGCTCCGGGGGCTACAGTGACTGGTGTCCCTTGAGCCACATTGACTGGTGCTCCGGGAGCCACCATGACTGGTACTCCGTGAGCCACAGTGGCTGGTGCTCCGGGAGCTACAGTGACTGGTACTCCGTGAGCCACCGTGACTGGTGCTCCGGGAGCTACAGTGACTGGTGTCCTGGGAGCCACCGTGACTGGTGCTTCGGGAGCCACCGTGACTGGTGTCCTGGGAGCCACAATGACTGGTGCTGCGGGAGCCACAGTGACTGGTGCTCCGGGAGCTACAGTGACTGGTGCTCCGGGAGCCACCGTGACTGGTGCTCCGGGAGTTACAGTGACTGGTGTCCTGGGAGCCACAGTGAGGGGCCTGGTGACGATATGGTCCATGGTGGTAAACGTGACTATATTTACTGCAGGTGGAGGGGGCCGCGCGCGTGACGTGCTGCCTGACGCCTACCGGGAGGGCGGGGCCACTGGTCGGGCCGCTGCCAGAGACAGGTGGCAACAACAACAACTTGCCTACTTCTTCCCTCAGCACCGTCTGCTGTAATGCTGCCGCTAACTGCTGTGGTTTCCCTACTACCGTCCTCTACGCTGTACTTGGTCTTTCGAGATGCTGGTGGAATTACTCAGTGACGCTATCATCGTCGAGAGACAACGCGAGTGACGCAATGGAGGAGGGCGTGGCTACAGAGTCTCGGGGCGGGACTGGGGCCGAGGTTACCGGGGTCGGTTGGTCCCTGCCATGCAGTCTGTCTTCTCTCCTTGCCATGAACTGCCGGGCGCGGGCGGAAGGCTTGGCGCGCCGCCTTCAATCTCGGGTTCGTATCGGTGGCGGTAGAAATTCGGCAGTCGAGCACACCTCACTGGTCACCCCAGGACCCGAGGACCACTATGCCTCCATGGAGTGCCGACACTCGTCATTTGACGACCAGCAAATGGATTTACTGGATGAGTGTAAATTGCGGCCCATACACGTGGTGACGTCAGAACCCACGTTACACCTGTGTCTCCCTTCGCCGCCATCACTTGGCAACGTCCAAGAGCAGGACTCCGACGTGTACTATGACTTCGACCTGGCCAGCCCAGACGAGGCACCAGAGGGGGAAGAGGAAGAAGAAGATCAGCAGCAGGAGAACGAACACCAGATAAGACAATATGAAGCCACTGAGAGACCAGAGAGTGGGTGTGTTACCTCAGTCACTTCTCCTGTTATGTTCGATGACAGCAGAGATGAGGACGAGGGCGAGGAGAGCCACTCTGGGCAGGGAGGCGACCTTTTTCCTCCCGAGGAGTCCATACTTTGTTTTCCCGACGCAGATCTCCGCGCCGTCAGACAAATATTATCCAACTCATCCTTGAATGACGTCTCGAACCTCACAACTGAGTCAGGGGATGGAAAAGGAAATTGTGATCAAAACCAAAAATGTGTAGAATGTAATGAAAATAAACATGAACGTTGTGAGGCCAGTGGTTGTAACTTTAGTTGTGCTTGTGAATGTTCCAATAGACACCTGGGAACCCACGGGACCTTGGCTCAGGTGCGAGGTTCGGGACTGTCATCGGGTACTGTGTCGAGTACAGAGGGCGCTGGCGAAGCTGTTCACAGCAGCACCTCGCGGTCAATGCTAGTGACGTCGCCAGTCGCCAAGTCAGGGTCGTATCAGTGCCACACTGCCCTGGGTACCCTACCGGCAGTGCCGCACACATCACCCGACTCTAAAACAAGCGCCACCTCGCTCACAGACTGTGCCGGTAGTGACAACACTTACCCAGACCGTGATCATGAAAGCAGTGAAGCATGTAGAGTTGAAAACTGTGTGATGATCGATAATGAAGGTCAGAACAAAGGCGGGGAAGGTCACGAGAATACACGGGAGTGGGGGGAAGTGGATGGGCAGGGCACGGGGTTTGTGGCCAGAGTAACAGTCAGGTATTCACCCTTCGAGGACGACTTCGTAACTCGTGAGGACCATGACAAACCAGAGGTGGTACCTAGGAGGGACGAGGGAATTATCCTGAAAACTTTCCCAGAAACCGCCACTGTCCCCCGGGCTATTTCTGGCGCGACGCCCCCACTCACCGATCCTCACCTCTACACGCCCTCTGAGGGACAGCCCACCGTCATGGAGGCGCGAGAGGACGAGGCTGACCTTCAACTGAAAGGCGAGGTGTTCCACATGGATTTCGACACAGAGGAGATTGAAACATTAGCGGAAGACGAGGACGGGAGTGAAGACGAAGAAGAAAACGAGGAAGACATCGAAGAAGAGACCATATTAACGGGGAAGTTCCGTAACATCCGGGGCTACACGGAGCGGGTAAGACGACTATCTGACGAAGCAGAGGATCGTACGCCGCCTGTAACTGTCATTTGTTATGACGAGGAAGGTTTCACTCAGTCGCAAGAACCGACCAAAGAGGAGGAGGAAGAAGTCACAGAGGAGCAGGTATGTAGCGCCGAGCTGGCGTCCCAACTCTCAGAACTACAGGTGGAGGATGTGGGTATTCAAGTAGAAGCGGATGACACGGACGTATCTGTTGACGATGCTGCAAATCGGTCCTCCTCTGAAGAAACCGACCCGGAGAGAGTTGAAGACTATAAGATGAGGATTAAGCGTTCGTCGTCACTAAAGTGTGGAAAGACCCCACCAGGCACTCCGGGACGTAAGAAAATAGTGCGATTCGCTGACGTCTTGGGTCTTGACCTTGCTGCCGTTCGAACGTTCCTGGGCGGCGGAGTCCCACACGTTCCCCGCTCGGCCTTCTGGGATCTGCAAGTGGAAAACGAGGCCGCTGTTGCAGCCACCACACTTTCCTACCATCCTCCTAATACCTTAGTGCCGAGAAGAGTGTTGACTCCACTCTTCCAGCAGCCTGGGTCACAACTGAACTTCCTAGAGCGAGTGAGGAACCAGAGGGTGGTGGTGGAGAGCGTGGACGTTGGTGATGACATGAGCGTACGAGGCATCGTGCGCGTCCTAAACCTCGACTACAACAAGAGTGTTTGCGTGAGGTACACGTTTGATCACTGGCGCAATTTCCATGAGGTGGGTACCACTAGACTTTACTATTTACATAAGATAGTTCTTACTATATACGGGTACTGCTCGTAAAATAAGGTTAGAGTTTATATGTATAAAAAATTTGGTTCATGATGTACGTTGGTACACACACAAAGTATATATATATATATATATATATATATATATATATATATATATATATATATATATATATATATATATATATATATATATATATATATATATATATATATATATATATATATATATATATATATATATATATATATATATATATATATATATATATATATTCAGTATATATATATATTAACTAATTTCAATAAAATGAAATTTATAATATTGAAACTAGTTAATTTTACCGCCACACCGCCCCGTTAAGTACTGTACTGCGGTGTCCCTCAGGACTCATTTTATTTAAAACTCGGGTTGAAACACGACGACCCCCTTCAAGGGAAGATGTTGTTTAATAATACGGGCGTCAGCCTCTTCCACCTCCTGCACACTCCACAAGAAACAAATTTATCATGTTACGTTACTTATTTTGACTGCTAACAACACACAATGATCAGCAAAACAACAGTTACCACTTCCAGCTTCTAATATACGGTCCTCTAGTTTAGTCGCACCTAACCACACCAATTCCACCCAACAATAATTTCCTTCACGCACCTCACCAAACACACAACAACACTCACTATCCATCGCCACACAACAAAAGGCTAATGATACATTTTCTCATGTCTTTAAGTTGTCCCTACAGTTTCATAGCCTTTTAAGGGGTCATTTGGGGGAGGGGGGAGTGGGTTAAGTTGGTACAATATTATTCTCGAAGACTATCGTGTTCAAAAGGAGACATTAATACTATGTTTATAGGATCTAAAGAACTCACTAGTGTCTTGTTAACTTTAAATATTTAGGCTGAACTCCTTAAACATTCAGGCTATAATAAAGACGTTTCCCCAACCCAGGTAAATATCTGTACATGGGGTCACCTGTATGCCTTAACTAACAACATTGTTCCCATATTTTGATAAGAATCCCTGTCACGAAATTCAAGTTAAAACACTGAAACCCAAACCGGTAAATGAGAGATGAAGGTCACACATATTGTAAATAAAGGTCCGTGAATTTACAAGTCACGGACATACTGTAAAAGAATGACCTAGTCGCAAATCACAGTGGCTTAGTTGACCTTTCATTTCCTTGTTAATTCCTTCGGTAAGATGAATTAAGTTCTTGTACTCGTAGGGTTAAGTCACCGTAATCATGGGGTTAAGTCATCGTATTCACCGATTCAATGTTGCTTCACTCTCTCTCTACTACAGGTACTTCAACGGGCAATGTTCAGTGGATTTGTCATCCTGCGTACCGCCGGCAAGGCTGTGGGCTCGTAACACTCGTCTTGCCCGCGGTGCCCATCGTTTCTCTGTGGATGTCGGTCACACTAGAATAACCCGTTATAGTACATCATTCTTTCCCCACACAGCCAAACTGTGGAATACTTTGTCTTCTTCTGTGTTTCCATACTTATAAAATCTGTCTCACTTTAAAAAGCTGGTTTTCCGGCATCTTGGTGGTATAGATTAATAAAATCGTTGTATTTTCTTTTTCTAATTTCTTTTTACTTTTATTTTTCGTCCCCTAGACCCCGTTATCACTGATTCATTGTACTCAGGGTATGGTCACCGTACTCATGGGATTAAGTCATCGTATTCACTGATTCATTGTACTCATGATACGGTCACCGTACTCATGGGATTAAGTCATTGTATTCACTGATTTATTGTACTCAGGGTATGGTCACCGTAGTACTCATGGGGGTTAAATAAAAATTCCTAAACGAGTCGGAAAAATTGAGTTTTTAGGATCGACAACTCAGGCATGGACAACTACACCACGTAAATCCCAAACACAGGGAGTTGAAGACTATCTATACAAGCTTTTCTTTAAAATTCGACACAAAACTCCTGCCGAACAAAAGATAGAGAAGTAACTCACATAAGGAAACCCGATCAAAGTCAATCTAAACTTTCAGATATTCACTGTGACAGTCTCCTCTCCATGTCTCGTCAAGGTTCCAATATTTACACAAAAGGTCGCACCTTCTGCCCCCTGAGATTTTCTATTTTTTTTTAACCAATTATGAAAATATTGAGTTTGGTTTCCTATCAACTAATCCACACAATGAAAAGATAATAATAATAATAATAATAATAATAATAATAATAAATAATACATGATGTTTAGGAATGGCCTTTGTCCTGGTCAATGAAGATCTGAATTAACAGGAACAGATACACCACATTATCTACGTTGAGCCATCCCATGTATAAATGTATCGCTTGCCAAACTTGTCTTGTACCGTCTTCCATATTAATTCCCCCGTCTATGGTGTTTTTTATATCTCTTTTCCTCCTCACAAGAGAATAGGAAAGAAGCAGCGATAATAGTTAGTACTTTACAACTAACTTACAAATTCATTTTCTAACCAATCAGTAAAACCAACCAACCAACTAACTAACTTACTCACTCACTCACTAATTAACTAGCTAACCTCTTAATGACTCCTTCTATAGGCTGCCTGAAGTAGCTCACTCAATATACACAGGAACAATTAACTCTCAAATGAAGTACAGTTGTGGCCAGAAATCCCTCGATATTTCTGGTAATATCTGGCACCATCTTCTAAAGGATTACATATATAAGGAGAACATTGATTATGACAGGTGTGTGTTGGCTTTACATCGTATTAATGTATTATTTTATATTATTTTTATATAAAGTTTATAATGAAAAAATAATAGTTTAGCAGGTATAATCTAATCATATATAAGAACCTTTATGTACACTGTAGATGCTAGATACCACCAAAAGTGTTAAGAGAATTTTGATCGCAGCTGTACATTACAGTTACTAGCTTGATTAACTAGTTGATCCTTTCTAAATAATGTTGATGAATTTGAAGCATAGTCTAGCACGTTATCCGAGTCAGTGAAAATTAGTTGTGTTATTAGTTATCTGTTATCTGTTCATAGTAAAGCTGGGTGTAAGTCCCTTATCAAGTGCCACACCTGCCCTTTAATTACCTGCTGTTGAGATTATAATGTAAACTCGATGCTTCAGTAACTCAGGTCTTTTGGCGCGTACTCTTACATAGACCATTAACAGGACGACAACAAGTGAAAATAAACAGATATCCCCCCAAAAATTTCCATTGTTATGTTAGCTATTGAAAAACAAAATAGGAAATTATTTATGGCAAGATGATGATAGTTTCTTTCAACATATTTCATTCATTAGATTGAGAGAGAGGGATACATTTTTTCTTCATAGTTTCTCGAGTCGTTGTGTACAGATCTTAGTTGTTTTGACGGATTATAATGCAATACTGTTCAGTGGGTGTTGTACAGTTGTAATGGGAACACGTGTACCAAGAAGCTCTGTTAAGGTAAATGACGCTATCATTATTATTATTGTTGTTGTTTAACGAGGACGATTCTTACAAGGAATCGCAAACACTAACATTTGTACAACAATAACAAGCATTCAACTCTCTTAGTACTCCAAACAACAAACACTTTACCTTTCCTAGTGTCACGAACAAAACACAAAACACGCGAGAAGACTGTTTCAGAATCTCTATTACGACAAACCTGGACCGATAATCAACTCGTGTCTGAGGTGAGACGCCCCTTAACCTACTGCAGTGTTGTGGGCCAGGAGGGAGCGAGCGTGTGTCCTGACACGTACACAGCTTGCACTACGCTTTTACGTTTTTTCCTCTGGGCTTGCACGAACGTTTAGCTGCCCCAGTGTGTGTGTGTGTGTGTGTGTGTGTTTGTCTCCAGAGATTAAACCACTACATGGCAACAGTAGTGACGCGCGGGACTGGAGGGGGCGGAGGGGGGCAGCTGGAGGATGAGGGTGACAGGAAGGGGAGGGAGAAGAAGAGGGTGTGGGAGAGAGGAGGTGGAGGGTGAGGGACGGGCAGGGGGGGGGGTGGGATCCTTAGCATGGGTCAGTCCACGTATTTACTCATACTTTACTCGTCGCCTCTTGCATCACCCTGACAAACTCCTTCAGGGTAGTATAGTATATAGCACTGGATGACGAAATCTCAGTATAGTCTAACACTCCGCCGTGTTTACAACCTGTGGCCATCTGTGCTTGCATACTCATGGGTTCTGTTTACATTCTTGCGACTGTTTACAAACGTTTAAAAGCTTTAGTTACAACATTAATAATTTTATTTAGTCTCAAAAAGTTAAATCCACAAACTTTTTTTTTTATATAACTGAAGATTTATTGACTTTGTTTACGTCACCCAAAAATAGAAAAGGACAATAAAGCACAAGTGTTTCTAGTATTGACCACCGGCGAACGTGTTTCAAAGTACGGGCCTCATTACAGGTGTTTCAAAGTACGGACCTCAGTAAAGGTGTTTCAAAGTGCTGTACCAACCCCAAACACAAGCATATTTTAAACAGCCCTAACAACATATATGGCACTAAAGACAGGGCCCACCTTATCTCATGATATCCAACTGGACTTGAGATTACAACTACGATATAGAGACTACGACTTACTCATCTAAAGAGGGGAAGAACGAGAGAGGAGATAAACAATTAAATTCAACTCCAGAACACTGAGATTGTTTTGTTTACTCAGTAAAGTGGAAATAATTAGCTTAGATTCGAAACAAAAAAAGAAGTGATATTTTGTAAACTTATCTTAGGATTATTATAAGAGTACAGTGACTTACTCTTGTCATTAGTGTTGATATTACATAAATTACTGATACAAAAACATACCATTCTGTATTACCTGTACTTGGTTTACTTTTCCATTTATTTCAGGAGACAAGACACTTTATTATGTACTTATACTTATTGTAAGGTGATGTTTGCTGTGGCTTAAGTGACGTAAATGAGTTAATGTTTTTTTTTTCTATTACGTTTGTTATTGTGGTCAGTTTCGCCTGATGTGTGTATGTGTGTGTG